TGTGGGTCATGGTTGCAGTTGCAGTTGCGGTTGCGCGGACGGTTTGAAATGTGTCGCCCAGTTGCGGTTGCGGTTGCGGTTGCACGTGCGGGTTGACATGTATCGCCCGGTTGTAGTTGCGGTTGCGGTTGTGCGGGCGGGTTGAAATATGTCGCTCGGTTGTGGTTGCAGTTGCGCGCGGGGGAGGGTTGAAATGTGTCGCCTGGTGGCGGTTGCGGTTGCGGTTTCACGGGCGGGTTGAAATGTGTCGACCGCTTGCGGTTGCGGTTGCGAGCGCGGGTGGGTCGAAATGTGTCGCCCAGTTGCGGTTGCGGTTGCGCGGGCGGGTTGAAATATGTCGCCCGGTTGCGGTTGCGGTTGCGGTTGTGCGGGCGAGTTGAAATGTGGGTCATGGTTGCGGTTGCGGTTGCGGTTGCGCGGACGGTTTGAAATGTGTCGCCCAGTTGCGGTTGCGGTTGCGGTTGCACGGGCGAGTTGAAATGTGGGTTTTGGTTGCGGTTGCGGTTGCGGTTGCGCGGGCGGGTTGAAATGTGTCGTGTGGTTGCGGTTGCGGTTGCGCGGATGGGTTTAAATGTGTCGCCCCGTTGCGGTTGCGGTTGCGGTTGCGCGGGCGGGTTGAAATGTGTCGCTTGGTTGCGGTCGCGGTTGTGGTTGCGCGGGCGGGTTGAAATATGTCGCTCGGTTGCAGTTGCGGTTGCGCGCGCGGGCGGGTTGAAATGTGTCGTTTGGTTGCGGTTGCGGTTGCGGTTGCGCGGGCGGGTTGACATGTGTCGTTTAGTTGCGGTTGCGGTTGCGGTTGCGCGGGCGGGTTGAATTATGTCGCCCGGACGCGGTTGCGGTTGCGCGGGCGGTTTGACATGTGTTGTCAGAAGTGTTCTCCTGACGTTCAGTCAGTCAGTCAGTCTGTCTGTCAAAAATCCATTACCGAAAGCGTATGTCTTGGTGAAGGACCCAATCATATGCAGTTGTGAGTACCGCGTTGTGGGCACCGCTTTCGGTGGATCTCTTTATGGGGGCCGAAATGGGCGTCGAGGAAGAAAAAACAAGCAACACAAAATTGGGTCAACATGAACTCTCGAGGGTCCGCGGATCCCCCTGCTCGTGTCGAAGAAGAACAAACCACAAGCAAAAACAAATATCCTGGCGAAGAACCAAACCACCAACCATATGCAGTTGTGAGTACCGCGTTGTGGGCACCGCTTTCGGTGGAGCTCCCTATGGGGCCACGAAACGTGTGAGGGGTGTGCCCAAATGGGCGGGGTTCCGCATGCAGGCCGTGCCACTGGGACTTTCGGTGTAGAAGAATACAAAACAAACAAAAAAACATAAACCAATCAAAACGTGCGTTAACATGAACTTTAGACGGTCGGTGCATGTTTCTGGGATCCGCGCTGAGACCCCACTGGCGTCGCCTCCAGCGCCGCCGCTGGCGCAGCGCCGATCCAAGAAATCCATTCGGATCTTCGAAATGTCATGTTGATGCCGTTTCTAGCCCTCTATAGGAGGGCGTCTTGGGGCCCTTCTGAGCCCCTCTTGGGGGTCTTTTGGAGGATCTTGAAGCCATCGTGAGGCCTCAGAAGCCCATCGGAGTCGAAAAGGTGAGAAGCCCCAGAGGAAAACGTTGTACGTGTGTTGTTTTGTTATGGATTGGGATTTCTGGCGGGGTAGTTGGGAAGCCTTGTAGCCTCTTAGAGTCGTCTTGGGAGCATCGGATTGCCGCGTGGAGGCATGTTGGACGCGATGTTTGTGAAGTTGGGACTGTTTTGCGCCATCTTGGAGTGAGTCTTGGAGTCAGTAGTGCCATCTTGGGAGTCGAATACGCGTGTCGTGAGAAGCCGTGGCGGCTCTCACGGTGGCCGTTGCCACAATCACCCTTCCATCGCCGATCGGGGCGCGATAGCCCACCCCCGCTCAGGACAGTGCGGATTCGCTGCCGGGTCTCCGACCTATCGGCGACGCAACGATTCCAGGTCGTTGTTCACCCCCCCCTGGGCTTGTCCCCCCACTGTTGTTGCCCCTCAAGGCGAAGTGGATGTGTGGAGGGAGGGGGGCGCCAAGAGGAGGCGGACAGCGGCAGTGGATAGAGGTTGTACGAGGAGAAGGAGGAGGAGGAGGAGGAGGAGGGAGGGAGGGAGGATTGTCCAGAATTTACGATCAACTATTTTATAATATTTTCAAGTTTTTGGGGCCTCCAGAGGCCTTTGCAGGCCTCCGGAGACTTTCTGGGGCCTCCAGGGACTCGAGAGTTACTCTCGCCATGAAGAGTCGAATAATCAAGAATCGAAGATCGAGTGGGAAGGAAGGGAGGGAGAATCGAAGATCGAAGATCTGGGGGGTCCACCGTTTTCTATCGCATGGGTCCGTTCGCGTGCCCCAGGGCCATCAGGAAATGATTCGGGACGGAAAGAACTGTTCCAGGGGAAAGCCGTGAGCTCTCGCCCCCCATGTGGCGGAGTGCCGGCCTGCCCTGATGGGGTTGGCCTCCTCTCCGCCTCCTCTGCCTGTCTCGCCGTCGCTCGCCCCCGAATGCTGCAGCTCCACCTCTGGAAAATCGGCCAGCCGGAGGCTGCTGCAAGCCCAGTGTCTCCTTTCTCGGCGGCGAGCGAGGGGGGGGGGGAAGGTGAGAAGGAGACGGCCCCCTCAGAAGGCGGCGGGGCTCCCCAGAAGCCCGCCAGCCCTCTGAGAGGTTTCCTGGCTTTCGGGGAGGGCCTCGAGAGCCTTTCTGAAGGCCGGGGCCAGAGGGCTCGCCGTCGATTCTCCTGTGCCCCGGTGGCTTGCATTCCACAATCTGCATGGGCACCTTGGCATCGCTCGGACGCGTGCACTTTTTCTCGGCGAGGACCATCGAAGAGCATCCTCGGTCACCTTTCGAAGAAATATCAAACGCACGAGATCGAGAAATCCACGGAGAATGGACGTCCGAGCGATGGCAAGGCACGATGCGCACACGTTCTCCCGGCCGATGCCGGCCGACCTCGGGCTGCTTTCTATCGGCACGGGCTCGCCCTCCCGCCGCTGCGGAGCCGCTCCGCGCCGGGCCGGGCACCGCAGTACCAGAATCGGGGCTCAAGGGACGAGGGTCGGTGTAAACGGGGATCAGTCAGAGCACCAGATCTTGCAGGATCTTGCAGGACCAGGGGTGCGCTGACCCGGGCTTGGGTGCAGGATTCTGCAGGGTCTTGCAGGATCTTGCTAGGCCTGACTGGCCCGGATCTGGATTGACCCGGGTCAGTACCTTGAGCCCCGACAGAATCCACGTCTTATCCGTAAGGGCTTCGCCCCATGCCGCCGGCCCCCTGCCTCGGATAATGGGAGATGCAAAAGCTAAATCATGAGGTCTGGGCGCCGCCGTGAAGCAGTGTCGGGACTTGTTTGTTTTTCGACCCTGACCCTGCGGACCTGCGACACGGGTCCCACCGAATTTCAGAAATGTGGCAAATCCCTTGTGTTTTTGGACCCTGACCCTGCCTATCTGCGTGAGAGGTGCTACCGAATGTCAGAAATGCTGCAAATCCCATGTGTTTTTACACCCTGACCCCGCCGATCTGCGTGAGGGGTGCCACCGAATGTCAGAAATGTGACAAATCCCATGTGCTTGCACCTCGATCTGCGTGAGGGGTGCCACCGAATTTCAGAGATGTTGCAAATCTTTTTAGTTTTTGCACCCTGACCCTGCCGATCTGCGTGAGGGGTGCCACCGAATGTCAGAAATGTGACAAATCCCATGTGCTTGCACCTCGATCTGCGTGAGGGGTGCCACCGAATTTCAGAGATGTTGCAAATCTTTTTAGTTTTTGCACCCTGACCCTGCCGATCTGCGTGAGGGGTGCCACCGAATGTCAGAAATGTGACAAATCCCATGTGCTTGCACCTCGATCTGCGTGAGGGGTGCCACCGAATTTCAGAGATGTTGCAAATCTTTTTAGTTTTTGCACCCTGACCCCGCCGATCTGCGTGAGGGGTGCCACCGAATGTCAGAAATGTAGCAACTCCCCGTTGTTTTTGCACCCTGACCCCGCCGATCTGCGTGAGGAGCGCCAGCAAATTTCAAAAATGTGGCAAATCCCATGTGTTGTTGGACCCTGACCCCGCCGATCTGCGTGAGGGGTGCCACCGAATTTCAGAAATGTGGCAAATCCGATATGTTTTTTGACCCTTATACCGCCAATCTGCGCGAGGGGTGTCAATTTTACCCCCCAGACATTCTGAGAACCCTCCCAGGGCGTGCTAAAAATTCCCGTTTTGGGCCACCACCCTTCGCGCGGTCCATCAAAAAGGAACGGTAAGCAGCAAGAAGTCAACAAGGAACAGTAAGCAGCAAGAAGCAGAACTGTAAGAGTGGAAACTGGAAGTTGCAACTGGCACAGGAACTTGCGAACCTTAGGCCTACAGCCTGGTGGCCCCACAAGGGGGCCAGCGGATTTGTTCGGTTGACGAGTGCTTGCGGCCAGTATTTGACGTTCCATTCCGTGCGTTTGTTTATCGGTCTCTCTCCTCTCCCTCTGTTTCTTCGGATATGAGGCTGCAGTTGGCATAAATGTCTCTGGGTGTCGCCTGGCCGCTCACCGTCTGACCGCCTACCAGCATGATAGGAGTTTGGGTGTTTCCTATCACCATCGGGTTGTGATATCGGCTGCCTTGCCAGCTCTCCTCCTCCTCATCCTCATCTGCATGTTCGTCTTACATGGGAACGACGGGCGAAAGCGGTCCAGCAGTAGGATTGCTTACTGGCTCTGTTGCTACGATTTCGTTGGCAGTTGTCTCAGGATTGTTTCACGGAGGTGCTATGTCGTCGTGTTGCGATTTCCAGTTCCTCCCTCCAAACATTGCAGTGGCGAAACAACGCATCATCATCGTCATCATCATCAGCTTCATCATCATCGTCAGCAGTAGAAGCATTGTTGTCGTAGCCAGCGTCATGACAATCATAATCATCATCGTCATCATCGCCATGATTTTCCTACCCCTCCCTCTTCCCCCACCTCCCCCGAGCGCCCGAGGAGTCGCACGGCGAGGTGGACTTTTGCGCCTTCATGAGCCATTTTGACTCCGTGCTCGGGCCACATTTCCGGTGCGCCAAGCGAAAGCCGCTGATCGAGTTGGAGGACCCCATGGGGGAAGAGGAGAGGAGAGGAGAGGAGAGAGGAAAGGAGAGGAGAGGAGAGAAGAGGAGAGAATTGGAGAGGAGAGGAGAGGAGAGGAGAGGAGGAGGGGGGGAGCAGGAGGAGGAGGTAGATCAAACCAGCCAAGTCGAACGAGTCAGCGGGCACCGCCCATTCCCGCCCTTCACCCCATCACAGAAGAAGTCAGTGGTGGAACAACTTGATCTTGGGACACGGGCGCGTTCCCGCCAAGTGAGCGGAAGGCGCTCGCGCGCGGTCCCGCTTTCGACGACGCGGCGAGGGGAAAAAGCAGGTTGCACACGGGTGGGAGCGGAATTTCAGAAAAGTTTTGCGCGGCGCTGCGGCGGGGCACCGTTCAGCACTCTCCTGGGCGGCCAAATCTCCAATGTGCGCGGCTAGAGCAAAGCTTGTGCCGTGCCCAAGCAGCATTGCCGTGTTCACATACACACACACACACGCACGCACGCGCACACACACACACACCATAACAACAACAGCAGCATAAGCAACAGCAACACCACCAACAAAAACAATAACAACAACAACTGTAGCAACAATAATAACAACGCAAACAGCATCAACAACAACAGCAACAACAACAACAACAGCATCAACAACAACAGCAATAAGAACAATCACAACAGTAACAACACCACCTCCAAGAACAACAGCAACAACAACAGTAACAACAACAACGACAACGACAACAGCAACGATCATGTTACCCTCATGCGCGATGTTTCCACATGCAGCATGCGACCATCGTGATAACCATCCCCATCATGGGGCATTATTGTTCGATCGCGGGGGCCCGTTATTCCCATTCCCAGATCTCCCGCCCGGTGAGGTCTTGCAAACACCTCCTCCGATGAATGTCAACGTATCCCGCCTCGAAAATTTCATGCCCGCGCCCTGCTGCACCGATGCGAGACCGCCAGTGGAGCCCCAGCCAAGGATAAAGCACAAGGAAGTATCGAGCGACAGGATTGGCTTGGTGGGGATACGGGCTGTCGGCGGCGAGACGAGGGCCTGGCCCTGAATAGAAAGGGGGGAAGTTTCGAGCAGGGCCGCTGTTGTTGCTGGGAGCGGCGCAAAGGCTGAAGAGAGTAGGGCCCTAATCCAGCGCAAAGCAAAACGAAGTCTCCAGCGGAAGCGCTGGTTCTGTTGGGACGGCGGCTTTCGGCGGCGAGGAGGAACACCGCATTGAGTAAGAAAGGAGGAAGCCTCGAGCGGGAGCCGTGGTTTTGTCGGGACGGGGGCTGTCGACGGCGAGGCACAGCACCGTCTTAAGGAAAAAGGGAGGGAGCCTCGAGCGGGAGCGTTGTTCTTGTTGGGAGCGGCGCCAATTCAAAAGAGAGTTGGGCGCCAGTCTAGCGCAAAACGGGAGGAAGTCTCGGGCGGGAGCGCTGGTTTTGTTGGGGCGGCGGCTTTCGGCGGCGGGCCAAATCATTGGCACTGAGTAGATTAGGAGGAAGTCTTATGTTGGAGCGGGGCGGCGCCGATGAGAGAACGAGTAGCACGCCAATCCAAGGTAAAACGGGAGAAAATCTCGAGCGGGAGCGTCGGTTTTGTTGGGGCGGCGGTTTTTGGCGGCGAACAAAACACTGGCTCTGGGTAGAAAAGGAGGAAGTCTCGAGCGGGAGCGTTGTTGTTGTTGTTGTCGGTGTTGCTGTTGTTGTTGTTGTTGTTGTTGGTGGTGGTGGTGGTGGTGTTGTTGTTGGTGTTGTTGTTGTTGTTGGAGTTGGTGTTGTTGGTGTTGTTGTTGTTGTTGTTGGTGGTGGTGGTGTTGTTTTTGTTGTTGTTGTTGTTGTTGCTGTTGTTGTTGGTGGTGTTGCTGTTGGTGGTGGTGGTGTTGTTGTTGTTGTTGGGGGGCGTTGTTGGCGCCCCTCCAAGCCGCTCCAGCGTGAGCCTCATTTTCAACAAAAATGCAGCCGGCGCCGAGGCGAGAGCGCCAGACCGCCTGGGGGGGGGCCAACAATAAAAACGATGTAGTAATCATGTTTTTGTTGGGGGCGGCGCCAAGTCATTATTCCCAACTTTCCTGTGTTGCGTACTCGTTTTGAATAGAGCAGTGTGGTCGCCCCGTCCTTCCTTCTCCTCCCCCCCTCTCCTCCCCTCCTCCTTCTCTCCTGTCTCCTGTGTTCCCTTCTCCTCTTCTCTCGTGTCGTCTGCGATCTGCGCAACTGTCGCCACTTTCGTGGGCTCCTGGGAGGCCCAGCGGAGGTGGGCTCCACGCGGATCACCTCGGGACCTCGCCGCCCTTTGGGGGGCTTGCGATATGCGCAACGGTCGCCACTTTCGTGGGCTCCTGGGATCCCCAGCGGAAGTGGGTTCCACGCGGATCACCTCGGGACCTCGGCGCCCTTTTGGGAGCTTGCGATCTGCGCAACTGTCGCCACTTTCGTGGCCTCCTGGGAGGCCCAGCGGAGGTGGGCCCCACGCGGACCACCTCGGGACCTCGCCGCCCTCTGGGGGGCTTGCGATTTGCGCAACGGTGGCCACTTTCGTGGCCCTACGACTACGTCTACGACGGCTACTACTACGACTATTGCGACTACGACCACTAGAAGTACGAGTAGTCGTACTACCACTACTACTACTACTACTACTACTACTACTACTACTACTACTACTACTACTACTACTACTACTCGTATTGCTCCTTCTACTACTGCCACGCCGACTGCTACTAGGGCTAGTAATCATCGTACTCCCACCACGAATGGCACGATTAGTATTGCTAACACGATTCAGATGGCAAGTATTCCAGTTCCTACTATCATTACCTTTGTATTACTACTACGTCTACGACTACTGTTGCGACTTCTACTACCACGACGAACATTCCTACTACTACTCGAACGCCCTCTACTACTGCTACTACTACTGCTACCACTACGTAAACTACTACTACTACTACTACTACTACTACTACTACTACTACTACTACTACTACTACTACTACTACTACTACTACTACTACTACTACTACTACTACTACTACTACTACTACTACTACTACTACTACTACTACTACTACTACTACTACTACTACTACTACTACTACTACTACTACTACTACTTACTACTACTACTACTACTACTACTACTACTACTACTACTACTACTACTACTACGACTACTACTACTACTACTACTACTACTACGACTACTACTACTACTACTACTACTACTACTACTACTACTACTACTACTACTACTACTACTGGCAATTCTTTGGCGACTACCACAAATATTATGTCCAGGACGACGATTGTTTTCATCATTATTCCCAACCATCCTGTGGTGTTGGGTCCTCGTTTTGAAGAGACGGTGCCCCGCGTTCCCGCCTCCTTCCTCCCTCCCTCCTCCCCCCTCCTCCCCCTCCCACACCCATTTCGGTACACCCTTCACACGTTTCGTTGCCCCATTGGGAGCTCCACCGACGGCCCCAGTGGCTGCGTTCGCTTTTGCGGCGCATGCGGTTCCACTCCCCATTTCGGCACACCCCTCACACGTTTCGTGGCCCCTTAGGGAGCTCCACGGAAGGCCCCAGTGGCTGCGTTCGCTTTTGCGGCGCATGCGGTTCCACCCCCCATTTCGGCACACCCCTCACACGTTTCGTGGCCCCATAGGGAGCTCCACCGAAGGCCCCAGTGGCTGCGTTCGCTTTTGCGGCGCATGCGGTTCCACCCCCCATTTCGGCACACCCCTCACACGTTTCGTGGCCCCATAGGGAGCTCCACCGAAGGCCCCAGTGGCTGCGTTCGCTTTTGCGGGCACACCCCTCACACGTTTCGTGGCATAGGGAGCTCCACCGACGGCCCCAGTGGCTGCCATGCGGTTCCACCCCCCATGTCGGCACACCCCTCACACGTTTCGTGGCCCCATAGGGAGCTCCACCGAAGGCCCCAGTGGCTGCGTTCGCTTTTGCGGCGCATGCGGTTCCACCCCCCATTTCGGCACACCCCTCACACGTTTCGTGGCCCCATAGGAGCTCCACCGAAGGTCCCAGTGGCTGCGTTGCTTTGGCGGCACATGCAGTTCCACCCCCCATGTCGGCACACCCCTCACACGTTTCGTGGCCCCATAGGGAGCTCCACCGACGGCCCCAGTGGCTGCGTTCGCTTTTGCGGCGCATGCGGTTCCACCCCCCATGTCGGCACACCCCTCACACGTTTCGTGGCCCCATAGGGAGCTCCACCGAAGGCCCCAGTGGCTGCGTTCGCTTTTGCGGCGCATGTTCCACCCCCATTTCGGCACACCCCTCAGTTTCGTGGCCCCATAGGGAGCTCCACCCCAGACCGCCACCCCATCACACGTTTCGTGGCCCCATGGGAGCTCCACCGACGGCCCCAGTGGCTGCCTTCGCTGTTGCGGCGCATGCGGTTCCACCCCCATTTCGGCACACCCCTCACACGCCTCGTGGCCCCATAGGGAGCTCCACCTAAGGTCCCAGTGGCTGCGTTCGCTTTTGCGGCGCATGCGGTTCCACCCCCCATTTTGGCACACCCCTCACACGTTTCGTGGCCCCTTGGGGAGCTCCACGGAAGGCCCCAGTGGTTGCGTTCGCATACGGTTCCACCCCCCATTTCGGCACACCCTTCAAACGTTTCGTGGCCCCATAGGGAGCTCCACCGAAGGCCCCAGTGCATGCGGTTCCACCCCCCATTTTGGCACACCCCTCACACGCTTCGTGGCCCCACAGGGAACTCCACCGAAGGCCCCAGTGGCTGCGTTCGCATGCGGTTCCACCTTCCATTTCGGCACACCCTTCGCACGTTTCGTGGTCTGAGGCGGCACCACCGAATGCCGCAGCGGTAGGTTCGGCATGTCGGTGTTGCCCCATGTCTGTACACCCCTCACACGTTTCGTGGCCCATAGGGAGCTCCACCGAAAGCCCCAGTGTCAGGGTTCGCATGGCGGCCTTCGGCCATTTCGGCACACCCCTCACGAGGATCGTGGCCTCATGGGAGCCCCAC